TCCTCCTCCTCCTGTATATATATATGTATATTCTACCCCCCCGCCCCCATGTACCTACCTTTTTTGGTCTGGAAATTGTGATATGTTATATATATATATGTCTGTATGTATATCCCTGTATATCCCCATAAACCCCAACACCCTGAAACAGTTCTCTCAGGATTCGCCCGAAGCTCAGCCCGACAATGGCGTCGTACTCTTGCAGGTCTGGGTCTCAGCAAGTCTCGGCAAGTGGAAAACAACAGCAGGGTGTAGGGTTCAATGGTTAGCGGTTAGGGGGACCCCCCACCCTGTAATAGTGGTATAGTAGGAAGGAGAACCGGGTTGGGGGTCCTCCTAACACATATAGGAAGCATATAGAATGTGAAGTAGGTTGCCTTTTTTTTTATCATTGATATTTGATGAGTGTATGTAAGGCTTTTGCTGATATGCACCAGTGTGTCACGAATGAAAATCCTACCACATATGGAAATATGTGGTTATATTTAGGGAGGTTTAGGGTATTTTCCCTCCCCAAAACAAACATGGCACCACATATAGGCATCTTTAAAAGAGCAGGAGCCTTTTTTGGGCTCCTTTTGGGGTTCCATCTTAGTTTCTTGGAGAGCAGGAGCCAGAAAACACATGCCTCGGAACACTTGTAACGTTTATTTATTAAGGACAGCCACGCCGGGTTTAAGATGCAAGCCTGAACAACAGTGTTCTGCAACAAGTAAGTTGCTTGTATTTAGGAATTTCAGGCAGGGTTAGGGTTACTTGGGCTCATCTGGAAGATGACACAGGATTGTTGCCCAACCCAATAAGGGGTTCGTTTTCACTAGAGTAGTCTTGTGGCCAGGCACAACAATAGTTGCCAACTCGAAGCCAGTTTACCTCAAAGCCCTCCAGTAAACGCTAAACCTTAAACTCTAAAACATTTATCGATGCCTGAAGCCTCCGCAGCGCTCCCAAGAAATGACCCTACCAGACTCCCGTCAACCTCCCGTTCCAATCGTTCCGGCCTAAATATGGGGTTTAGGGTTTAGGTGTGCCAAACATGTGTACACAGAAAGGAACGATCATTCTGACAACATTCCTTTTTTGTCGCTTGTTCAGGATGGTGCGTGGCGCCGCATGTCTGGGCCCGATACCAAATACCGGAAGGAGGCTCCTACTGCTATTACTATTATTATTACTACTATTATTGCTACTATTTTTTCTATTATGACTACTATTATTGATTTGTGAGGGGTAGGCAGTAGAGAAGCATGGAACGCACCACTAGGGAGAGCAACATCCTTACAGGTAGTGCGGCCAGTAACAATCATAAATCATATTCATTCTGCTGGCATCAGTGTTTGTCGCCAGGGGTTCACCTGTGGCTGGGGCCAATCCAAGATCTTCGTGTCTGGTGACCGCAAAACGCTCTTCTCAACAGGTGGATCAGGCCATTTGCCGCAACACTACAGGTGAGCGTAGGTTGAAGACATGAGCTAGAATCTAAACTTCTCAAAAGGGGTTACATAGGAGATTTTCTAGGGGACACTTATAGTGGTTATAAGGGGGATGTTAGGAGTTTGGACGCAAGCTCACATGTTGTGGTGCCTGTATGCACGTTCGAACTCCACAAGCTTGGATCTCTCAAAAATCCGGGTACCTTGAAGGACTCTTGTTGTACAAACTTGACTTTTTGGGATATGTGGTAGTGTCCTAAAATAAGGAGACCCCAATGTAGACCCCAAAATACTATAGTCCTTACTGGGACCCCCCAAAAAGAGTACCCCTAATTTTGGGAAATCCCCATGTAGGGAGACCCTCTTCTTGACTCTCATAGCTCGATTCCTGCATGGCGCTTGGTGCTTGCAAGCATATGCATGTAACTTATATAAGGCATACGGCAGGACGATGCGTGAGCTCGGATCAAGTCGCCAAGAGATGTAGGTATAGTCCCCCTTAAGTAGATAGAATATGGGGTATATGGGGACCTTACTATAATATCTCCAAAGCCATATTCTATCTACTTAAGGGGGACTATACCCCTAAACCCTAAACCCTAAATGGTAGTTTCCATTTTCTTTTCCATTATCCCAATAGAACCCTAATATTCATACTCCCTCCATAACCCAAATACATTATAGTAGCTTCCATTTTCTTTTCCATTATTCCTCTATTTAATATAGAATATACCCAAAGCCATATTCTATCTACTTAAGGGGGGCTATAACCTGGGGAGCTCCTTAGAAGTCTGGCTTTGCAAAGCCTAATTCCACGGCCTGCTTTTTTGAAGTCCCGCCCTTAAGTCCTCCTACTCTTAAGACGATCAGTATTATAGGGTTTAGGGTTTAGGGTTTAGGGATATTATAGCCATTATGATAGGTATGATTCGTATTATCATTTTCATTTTCTTTACTAGATCCATTATTGTCATTTTTTATACCATACACCCCAGTGAGGTCAGTACTACGCCTTCGACGAAGGGAAGGGTTGGTGGCTTCTGGGCTGTATTGGAATCGTTTAGGGTTCAGGGTAACATGCTACTCGGAGGTTCCGGGATCTAGTGACTCCTTCAAAAGGGGTATTGGGGGTGTATAGGGTTCAGGGTTTTCGTGTCCAGTTGAACACGATGTGGAACACTTTTTTTTTGTTGGTCTTGGAGGCTTTGATGGGAATCACCATAGTGAGCACCAATGTATATTGGAGTGTTCATTTCATTTTCCATTCGATTCTCTGTTATTGGGGAAATATCCGTACAGAACCCGATACATATCCAGCTTATGTCATTTTCCATTTGATTCCCCCAGATATTACCCTAAACCCCAACTAGAAGGTTCGATTTTCTTTTCCAGTAATCTTCCCTGAAACGAGATTTTCTTACCAGGACCCCAGCACTATCTCAGGCTTCCCTTGGATGAGGCTAGCTACGGAAGTGCGCGAGGCTTTGGGGCGCAGATGGGGTAATAGTACCATTAGCCAGGGTTGAGGTAGTAGGATTTAGAGGATTTAGAGTCTTTAGGGGTATTTAGGGTCTATGAGTTAAGGTTTGGAGTTTTAGGGTTCAATGTGTAGGGTTTAGGTGTTGAGCTGTAAGAATGCCTGCGACAGCGGCAGCATTGCCAGCACCACCAAATTGAGATGCTACGAAGTGTAATCATAGAAGTGAACAAGTGCTTTTAGAACGGAAGCCTCAACGCCACACAATCCGTTCTATCATTCACTGTATGACCTTTAACATGATCATGTCGTTGTTGAACGTGTGGGCATTGATTTTCCTGCAGCGGAATATGTGCGTAAGTGAATATCTATATACATATATATATAAATATGACCATGTATCACTCAATTCAGAAAGTAATACGTATCATGACAACTGTGTGTTTACAACGGTGGCAGTGCCGTGCTGCTTCTTTTTATGGGTGTATGAGGGCTATGATAGCAATGCCCTGTAATATGTTATTGGTCTTGTCGATCACAGAGGGCCTCATCGCGACCCTAACCTGTAACCCGGAAAAACTGAGGCTCTAAAGCCTGTTCTTCATGTAACCACAAGCAACCCCTAAGCCAATCCATGCGAAGCCCCACATCTCTGAAACTTCCGAGCTTCTAAGCCCTCTTTCAATTAAGCCAGTAGCCCTGACACCCTTAAATAATATATAGTACTTTCCATTTTCTTTTCCATTATCTCAACATAACCCCGATATGCTCTATAGTAGTTTCTATTTTCTTGACAATTATCCCAATATAATCCCAATATACTATATAGTACTTTCCATTTTCTGTTCCATTATCCCAATAGAATCCTTATATAGCCCTAAACCTGAAAGTCCAAACCCAAAAGCCTCATGTGAAAAGGAACAGCTTACTGGACTGCCAGGGAGTAAAAAGGCACGCTAAGAATCTTAAGGGGGCACTTAACGGAAACCCAAACCCTGAATGCTAAAAGTTGCTTAGCAAGCCCTTAGCCTGAAGGCTTCTTTACGCAGCTTACGCAGCAGCGAAGCGAGCCAGATCTGGTACACCCTAGCGGTTCCCTGGCGGGTCACTTTTGGGTTTGAAGATTTCAAGGTTCAGGGTTTGAGGGTTTAGGGAGGGTTTAGGGTGTACTGTTTAAGGTTCGAAGGTGGGGTCTAGGGGTGAGGGTTTAGGGTTCAAAGTTCCGGGCTGTTTGTTTAGGATAGAACCCCTATAGAATCCCTATATGATCCCTATACAACCCTTATATTACCCCTATGTAATCCCTATAAAACCCCTATATGACCCCTATATGATCCTATGTAATTTGGGGCTTTATGATTTGGAATTTAGAGTTTGGGGGGTAGAGACGAGAATCTGGGATGAGCCTTTTCGATCGTCGAATTCAGGGGAAGTTCAGAGTTTGTTTCGGCCTTTAAACCCGGAATCCTAAATCTTAAACCCTAAAC